ACAAACTTCCATGTGACCAACAGAGGTGACTTTTGGATCAGAAGATGGGTTTTCTTTAGCCCAAAGTGTACTTTTCTTTGTCTGTATTTCACTTCGGCTCGCTAATAGTCTGTGTGATGTAATTTTCACCATCAGATTGATTTCTGTGTCTGCAGAAACTTGCAAGGAGAACAGCGCATATGCGAGTGTTCAAAAACAAAGGTCCACTAGGTAGTGCACACATGCCAAATTCATTCATCTACACTCACGGTCAATGGAGGATATTTTGAAAGACTTGCATGCTAAACTGTGTGCTAGATGGAGCAGGACATGGTAAATGAAGTATACTGAAACCCTTACCATGGATGTTCTTTGTTGGGAAAAATTCTTATGCTAATTCTTGAGATGCAGAACTGTCAGTGCTGCAAGAAATAGTACACCAACCTGGTTCTCATGCATGTTTGACCCAAACTACCTAACCGGAACTAGTGGGCAGCAACTGTGTGTTTGTGTGGTTAGCTGGTGGTAGTCAGGTGCTAAAACATAGCAGTGGCCAAATGTTAGTCCTCCAGAGTAAAGCATACTGTCCCAATGAATACAGCCTTGCAGTGAAAATTGCAAAACATTACAATACTCCAAAAACTGCAGAACAAACCGTCTACCTACATTGCCATTTTTTTTATGTATACATCATCTGAGCCTAGAAAAACAGAATGATGTGTGGTCAGACATCAGAGATCCCTTGTGAATAAGAAGTGCACTTAAGTAAAATTAATGTGCACTTATAGTGTAATTTAAAGTACTTTTTAAATCATTAAGTTTTAATAATCTTTTGTCATGCTTTAAAGAAGTACACTTAATATGGTATGTTGACTAACATACTAAAGCACATTTACTTGATTATCATTTTACTGTAGTGTTATTTGATATAACATTCAAAGTTCATATATTTTAAACATACTAGGCTGAATTGCAACTTCATCATTACAAATGTGTAATTACAAATGTTTAAATAGATGACATAAACGTTTCAATAGAAATTACATTAAAGTTTATTTTAGTTTACCATAAATGCTCGCCAGTACATTTGGCAATACACTTTAACCATATTTAAAAGACAATAGAATTACTTATAAATTACAATTACGTATAAAGATGTTCATACTTGGGCCAAAATAAAGCACTCTGAAGTTCAGATAATTGCATTTAATTTATATAATAAGTTTTTCTTACGTATGCTTTTTCACAAGGAGTATTTAACTCTCACGTAAATTCAGCATTATTCTAAAATAAGTTCAGTGCTGTCAGGATATTATTATCTTGTGTTTTCCACAACTGAAATCATAGCAATAGTTGTACAAAAATTGATGCTGATCAAAAATGTATTATTGGAATATAATCTTGACTAACATATGGAGATTTTGGTCGTTCTGAATGCAAGTAAGTAGGAGAATACCATATAGTGGCGTTTGGACCGACTTGTCCTCATAGACATTTAGTTTGGTTGGTTCTGAGTGATGAATGTTCATTATAAAGCAAAAGAACAGCGGAAGCAGCTGGAAGAACACACCCATCCCAGTGCTGACCCAATGCAGAGCTCTGCCTTTCTGCCTACTGGCAGGCTATAAGAGTGTCTGTCTCAGGAAGTGGGAGGAAACAGGTCAAGCCTGGATTCCTGTGTCCTAGTGCCGTTCCCTCCAGAACTGTCTTATCCCTGCATTTTCCCATGAGAAATGGCCCAGTGCACAGTTGTCCCCTACCCATATCTACCCCCTTTCAACATGGTTTTCCTGTGAGCTTGCTCACAGTGGCCTGCAGTGCTTTCCTTCCGCTATGGATTGTTCTGTGACGCACACAACTGCTTTCCTGTCTGGAAAAGGCATGCAACACACATTCTACCATATATTCCTTTTTTCCTTTCATTTCCATTGTATCATATGTATTTGAATTTTTAAACTTTTAAATGAAATTGTGTGCCTTTTAGTCCTTGTTAGCTCTGAGACCATCATACACTTAAAAGTAGACAGCACTAACTTTTTACACTTTCACACAGACTCTTCCTTTCTCTTTCAGGAAATCAGAACAAAAATAGCGATGACACTCTTGCGCTTATGAGAATCACATGCTTTCTCGAATTAGAATTTCCCTCTCAATAATACCACCTGCTGTGACATTGTGTGGCTTGTTGACATTAGTAACCACCTATAACACCCTAGTATCAAGGTGGTGAGTTTTGTATGGGCAAGCACCATTTACATTGTGTCCTTAAAATGTAAGTTACAGTACTTAGTGAACCTTTAACATCAAAGCTAAACAAATTCTTTACTAGTCTGACATCAGCAAAATCTCTCACGAAAACTGACATCCTCGCTTTTGCGCCATATTCTCACAAATTGCTTTTGACTGGACCGCTGTCTAGCGCCAAAATCAATCTGGCAGCAGATTTAATCACTGTTACAGTATATTTAGTTAGTATTGATGGTGGTGCTGTATTAGGTAAACCCTATTCATGAAAGCACACAGACCTTGGCCCATCACATCTCTTCGTCAGTTATTGTTGACATTATTGATGTAACAGCGGTCAAAGCAAATGGAAAAGCAATTTCCTGTATTGCCTAGTGTTGTATTATGCTATCATTTCTCCTGTGAAAAATAATTACACTTTTGCATACTTATTACAGAAATAATCTAATTTAAAAGAACTGCATGTCATGTTTTTGAACACTTACTTGCATTTAAATTAAAATGTATTATGGTTTACATTTATATTAAATGAAATTAGTTGAACTTAAGAGTGATTTTTACCCTTTAAAGTACATCTTTACATGTAAATTCATAATTAGTTTTATGGTTAAAGTGTACTGCTGAATATACTGACAAAAATTGGTATGGTAAACTAAAATATACTTTAATGTCATTTCTTCACAAGGATTATTCTGCTATAAGCTGTGAAGTACCTCTGTGTTCTAGAAAATGTATCTTTTAATCAAAGAAAGTGTGTGTGCGTTCTATGCGTGCAGGGGCAACTCCACACTTCCTGTCTGTTACTTTGATCCAACCCATTACTTTTATCAAGCGATCGCACCCTAACACCTGGAACCAACAATGGTTTCTCTCTCTCCCTTCTCCTTGGTGCTGTGTGTTGTCTTTGGTGTGGTAGTTTGTCTTAAACATGGTGTGCTGGTAGTTATGGCATGCTGGGTCAAACAAGAGGCCCAGTCACGTCTTCCAGGCGGCCAGCTGCCTCCACCACCCAAAACCACCCCTCCCAAAACCGCTTAGAGTTGTTCTTTATAAAAATACATACTTTTATAATGCCCTCATTCTTCGAGCCAGGAAGACATAATCACTGTTTGCTGGGTGTAATGTGTTTGTAGATGTGAATGTTTTACATGAGGCTGCAGAATTATGATCGCTCATTGGTTTGGAGCAGCAAGACTGCATTCACTGTGTGTTAAAGTATGCTTATGTGAATGTGCACCTGGTAGCCTTCAAACTGAAAACAATAAATCAATAAAACTGTCCTGCTTTAACTTGTAACTATACTTTTATAGTTTCTGAATTAAATGTGAATGGAACTTGCCTGTGTAAAACTCACCACCACAATTCTAGGGGGTTCTGGGTGTTGGCTTGCTGGCAAAGTCAAAGAGCCCACCCATTGAAATTCTAGATATGGCTGGGGTCCCTCTTGCAGTGTAGGTCTAAGCGATTTTTGTCAGCTGTTTTATTGTACACCAGGTGAAAATTGTAAGTTGGTATGATATGATGATATGATAATATGATATGATCATATGGTAATAAAAAAAGCAGTCCATATGACTGGTGGGAAACAGTCTTCTGAAGTCAAATGACAGCACAACTAAGAATGAGAAGTAGCAGACATATGCCACAATTTCAATTCCTGAAAGATCTGTGACGCTCCGTGTCAAGAGCAGATGGAAAATACCTATACATAACAAAACACACACATGCATCTTTCAACAAGTGTCTTTGACTTATCACACATCAGCTCTTGGCTTAGTCTGTTGAATTCTGGTAAAGTTTGTCACTGCAGTCTTGCGCTTCTTTTGGGATGAGTGAATTGTGCGGGTCGAGGGTGACTGATCTCACTCCTTGGGGCAGCAGATGGCCAGCGAGACACACAAAGAAGCTCACAATGTGAGCGACTGCCATTCAGATAATCTTTTCTGAATGGGACAGGACACACATCCCACAATGCCCTGGTTCAGCCCTCTGCAGCTCGGCGTCTGGAACCGACAAAACTCATTGGCTGCTTCTGTGTTCAGTCTCTTACAAAGCCACAGTGTTGGAAGCATAACATCATACTGCCTGCTGGTACTTTTCATAATTAGGCAGCCGTCCGCCTCCCTGCTGCATCTCAAGAGCACTGTTCCTTGCTTCATTGAAGCTTGATCGTGTGAAAGAAGATGGTGCTGGCGGCATTCAGTGCTCACTTCTGGGTTAGAGGTCATGGTTAGGGGGGGGTGTTTTTTCCATATCCTCTTGAGCTGTTAGGGCAAGATGGTTTTGCTACCTCTGAACCCCGAAGTCCCTTATCACCCCTAAATCTCACTCAGTAAAGTTAACAGGATATGAAATGTTCCCAAGCAGCCAGGAGCACTTCATCCTGCCACTAATAAAATTCTCATTACGGATATTTTCCAAATCCTCTTCTGGCTTTAAGACAAAACAATGCTACCCCAAACATAGTCAAAAGATTTTGTGTACAGTCTAAATACATTGCTTTGAGGGATTGAGTTACTGAACCATTACGGTTCAGACAAAAAATTAAGAAAATTGTGAAGAATTTCCTAGCCTAAAAAATAGACAGGGAGTTTGTATGAAGTCTGCCCTTGTAAAAGCTTGCGGCGCTACGTCATGGAATGTGGCAGCAGGACAGAAGTGTGAGGACTATTTATATTTGGGGTTGGGGGTTGGAGTGGGGCTTCCCACTGCAGACTGCACACACAAGAGCTGACTGTTACTGACACATGCCCCTCCCTTCCTCTGTTTCTCCACAGATGAGCGATGGAGAGAAAGAGAGAGAGGAACAGCTGTGGTAGAGAGACAGTGAAGGGAGGAGGATCTCAGTGAGAGTCAGATGCTGCACCAGGCAGGAGCAGACAGAAGTCAGCCATAGACAACGTTGGAAAAAGAGGATGGCCAGTGTAAAGGAATATGTCTAAAAGAAATATGAAGGAATATCTTTGTATGCTCTGACAACTGGCTGTATTACAGGTAAAAAGAAACTCTATTACTATGCAATACTGTTGTTTTAAAAGTGTGTGTTTTTGTGTGTAGGTGCATGGATGGGTGGATAAGTGAACATTTAACTGGATAGATAGAAAGTTAGACAGATAGATACATAGTTATATGGATGGTTAGGTAGAAAGATGAATGCATGGAATGCTTAACTTTGACCTTGATGTTTCTTTACCATTTTCCTCACAGATCAGAATGGGAAATACAGATAGTCAGTATAGCAATTCCATCATCCCTGGTAAGGGAAAATCTAGCTCCTTGAAGATGCACACCTCAAAAGAGGAGGCACTTTCCCCACGTTCTTGGTGGAGGAGCACTGAAAGCACCTCTGGATACAAGGCCAAAAATTTATTTTCACCACACAAGAACAGCCAACCTTACATCTCCCGCCATTATGACTGCATTAAAGGGGGATCTAGTGACAAAGTACGTTCAGAAAGACACAATGACAACCATTTATTCCAGGGAAATGGATTCTTTGTAGGCTACAGACAACAGACTGGAGGCCTCCAGGCCCCTATGAAGAGCACCAGTTCTGAGATTAAAGACAGTAAGAGCAGTCCCAAAGTTCTTTTTCGTGAGGATGGAAGTCTGAGGGTAGAGTTTACCAATGCACGGAGGGAGCCGGATGTTGCGCTGTCTTTGGGCAGCTGTCTCAGTGGACCTGTTGATGCTACCCAAAGGGCCAGTAATGGGAGCTCTCTTAGCTCTGAGGGTTCATGGTATGACTCACCCTGGGGGAATGGGACAGAAGATCTGTGTGATAATGTCTTCACCACCGGCCAACCTTCGGACAACAGTAGTGGATATACCACACTCTCATCCACACGCACTGTAGATTTTGGATGTTTTAATGGTTACAATACAGAACAATCTGAGAACCATATGAGTAACCTCACCTGCCAAGCCACAGTTCTTGGCAGTCAGTATGCAAGCAGTGATTGCAATAGTAATGGGTACAATGCTAACCGAGCTGAGGAAGACAGTGTTATTGGAGACTCTGTGTTCCTTAATTTGGAACATAATGGATTATCCGACCTTTACGCAAACCCCAACATGACTGTGCCATTCCCTACCGAGAGCATCCTAGCGGTGGATCAGCTTGAGGACACTCCTCAGCTCCAAACCTCACTGACCGCTTCCCTGGATGTGAACTCTCAGGATGAGAGTCAGAAAACCCAGAATTACACCTCACAAACCCTGCCATGCAGAAAAGCAGTTCCTGATGGCAATACAAGGAAGGACTTGCTCAAGAGTCGCATCCGCCGCCTCAGCGATTGGACAGGAAGTCTAAGCAGGAAGAAGCGAAGGCTGCAGGTGAGAAAATTATTTGGCGTTAGTGTAAATCTTTCAGCATAACAGACCTTCCTGTTTGACTCCAGAATTATCATGCAGATGTTATCATATTACAATTCCATTTCCTGTTCAGTGCTCTGGGTGTAAAATTATGTTTTTGTTGAAGTTGACTCTTCAATGCTGTAAAGCATTTTTAGATGACATTCCTCTTTGAAACAACAAATTACTGGTATGCTTGTTGGACTGGCCATGATTTGTAAGAGTTGTAAAGAAGAGTAAAGGGTGTGAAAAACTTCACGACATTGTGGCAACCTTGTAAAACAGTTACATGTTAACATTTGCCATCCTCTTCTCACTTCATGTCTACCCAACCTCAGGAACCAAGTACTCTGGACTTTACAGAGGTCATCAGCTGTGGAGCTGGGGGCACACTAGAGGAGTCCAGACCATTTTGGAATCCCATGTCCTCCCAAACACAGCTGGACTGCTCTGGTTCCTCAATGGGCCCATTTGGGCAGCAGAACCAGGGTGCGGCCTTGAGGCAGAACATCTATGAGAACTTTATGCAGGGCCTAGAGACTGGCAGCAGCAGTGGAACTGCTGATGGACTCCAGGTCTGGGAGGGTGAAGGAGAAAGCAGCAGTGGCTCAATGGGCTCCTTGGAGCAAATGGACTTCCTGTTTGAGAAGGAGCAAGGTGTTGTGCGGAGGGCTGGTTGGTTGGCTTTTAAGCCCCTCATTACCCTCCACAAGGACCGCAAACTGGAGCTGGTAGCAAGACGCAAGTGGAGGCAGTATTGGGTCACGCTCAAAGGTAAGATGGTAGTCTTGGGAACAAGGGGACAATAAATGCAGATTAACACTAATGCTGAATCTACAGCAAGTAAAACATGCACAGCCAATTAAATTTTTCAGTTCTAAGACTTCAAAATGTAGCTTTAATGGATAATGTTTGCTCGTCATTATTAGGAGCTCTATCTCTGTTTCCCTGTCTCCTGTAGGCAGCACACTTTTGTTGGGTGAATCTGATGGAAAGATCTCCCCTGAGCAGGAATGCACACCACATTACGCAGTGCTTGCCGAGGACAGTATTGTGCAGGCAGTTCCTGAGCATCCCAAGAAAGAGCATGTCTTCTGCCTCAGCAATGCCTATGGAGATGTCTATCTCTTTCAGGCATGTGGCCTTTATCTTATAATATAGTACATAGTACACTATTTCCACAATGTGGACTTTTGGCTATAAGTTGTCTCTTATCTCTCATCTGTTACTTGCAGGCTGCTAATCAAACAGACCTGGAGAACTGGGTGACGGCCATCCATTCTGCCAGCGCATCACATTTAGCTAAGCGTCAGGGGAAGGAGGACACTCTGCGTTTGCTGAAGAGCCAGAGCAGAGCTCTTCTGCAGAAGATCGACATGGATGGCAAAATGAAGAAGATGGCAGAGCTGCAGCTGTCCGTCATCAGCGACCAGAAGAACAGGAAGGCTATTGAGAGCCAGGTGAGGAACGAAACGGATGTGTGTGTGTGTGTGGATGTTTATGCATATGTGTGTGGTTTGTTTCAAAAGTTTGAAGGCCAAAACCAAGTAGTTCAGATGAGTGGTTTGCTAAATTGGGCAATTAAGTCATTGATGTTGGTGTTTGAACAGCAACCACACCACAGTGCCTTCAGAGCATCCAAGAATATATAATACAAGCATTCAGACTTGTCATCCCCATGCCCTGCTGATCCGCATTATCTACATTTCTATGTTTTTAGGTTTTCTAAAGAAACTGTGAGGGGTACTTTCCCATACATAAGTCACTGCCAGTGTTGTGGGTTGTTGTAACTCCATAATATTTATAATGTCTATAGCTTTCTCAAATGTATTTCAATGCGTTGCTCTCTCTCCTTCATCTCTGACCCACAGATCCTGCAATGGGAACAGAACCTGGAGAAGTTTAACCTAGAGCTCTTCCGCATGCGCTGTTACCTGGCTAGCTTGCAGGGCACAGAGCTGCCCAATCCAAAAAGCCTGCTAGCCACTGCTGGACGCCCGTCTAAAATGGTGCTAGGTCGTCTGGGAATTTTCTCTGTCTCGTCCTTTCATGCGCTGGTGAGGATCTGTCACATGCTTTGAGGGAATTGTGTAAGATACCAAAAAAAGACCTCATTAAAACAGTCTACCTTTGAGACGTGCCACAAAAATTTAATTAAGATGAGTGAGCACTGAGATTTTTTTTAAATGATCTTGTGTTTGTGCAGATATGCACTCGTGATGAAGCCACCCTGAAGAGACGATCTCGCTCTCATCCTCGAGGTATGCGGAACAAACGAGGACTGCTCTTTTCTTCACAGAAGGGATTAGACAGTCTGACCAAACGCAACCATGAAAAGAGACAGTCTCTGTCCCAGGTAAGAAATACTCTTTGGTAGGTGCAGCCGCAATAAAATATATATTTTTTAATAATCTGGCTAGAACTGAAAATATCATGGAAATTCTTTTGCCAGACAGTAATGTATTTTAAGACCTGCCAAACCCTAACAATAAAGAATACACTTAGGGAAAATAAAAATAAAAGGAGCAGTTTTCCTTTAATTAATGTTAATCCTAATTGACGTGAATCAGTACATACTAAAAGAGCTGTGATTTCAGGTTAGGAGTCTTACTCTGAGGTTCACTGGCCTGTGTTTACGACTGCAGTACTGATTAGTCATTTAAGACACAGGCCTGTTTTACTCATTTAGTCTCACAGTAGTGTGTTAATGCTGTCCACAGGTGTCAGGATGAGAAACACTGTCACACTTGGACAAAACAAACAGCCACTTACTCACACATCAAAGCTTTCTCTGGAGGTCAAATGGCAGGAAAACACACAGCAGTCCTGTTCCTTTCTCCTGTCAAACTGTTCGGGGGCTGTTTTGGAATTACTGTTTCTCGATCAGTTCTTGTAATTAAGCCCAGCTCAGCATTCCTTTTCTGAAGGGCTTTTGTGTTAACACAGAGCATGAGCTCTAAATCCACATGTATGATTAGGTAGATGGCCTCATGTGAGTTTGGAGCCAATCACTCAGCGGTTCCAGCCTCATAATCATCCATCCTTAAGTGGACCAAATCTGGTCAAAACAGCCCCTAATAGTGCATGATTCCAAAGACGGGAATTACCATGAGCTGCATGCGGTTAATTGCTGCAAGCTGGAAACAGTCTGAGAGGAGAGACAGCTTCTACTGCACAGATGTAGCGTCTGATGCTGTTTGATTCAAAAGGGTTACGGGGGCAGTGTGATTGTTTCCAGAGGGCTTAGATGCTTTAGTCAGAGTCAAGTCAGAGTTGCCGTCCCCAGATAAACTGCTCAGTTGTAGTATTGCTACTGTTCTCTGGATGTCTTCCTCTGTTGCTTTTTTACAAACTCAGCTCTTTTCTTAAAGACTTGCCGGTAACACTCTAGTTCACTCTCTAATAGTCCACTTTAGACATCCTGCAGTAAGTAACTTTACAACTACATGACTACCAGTCATTAGAGTATTAGTAGACTGTCTGCTTAATATCTGCTAACACTTTATTTTGATGGTCCCACAGCAGACGTTCTGACTAGGTAACTTTGCAAGTTCATGTCAACTTAGTGTACTTACCCTAAACCTTACCTAACAGACTACTAATGGTACGTAATGGTTTTTATACTGTACAGACCGTATATTCTATTGCACTACACCAACCCTACCCCTTACAGGATTGTGCTATTTCAGATTTTCAATACACTCCATTCTGTGTGATTTATAAGCGTTTTGAAAAGTGGGGACATGGGGTAATGTCCTGAAAAGTCACCTTCTCCTTGTAATACCCATGTCATTCCTTTGTCATTATACAAATGTATGTCCTCATTTGTCACAAAAACGCACACACACACACACACACACACACACACACACACACACAACACACACACACAAACACACCCCATATAACAATTGTGTGCCCAGTATATTCTCTGCTATCTCGGCATAAAACAACAAATAATGTTCAAAGTACAGCCACATTTACCATTGATCAGCTACATTTCTCAAGTCAATTCCAGTCATTTCAATATAAATCCGCATGATCGGTAGTTTTGTGTGAAGGCCAAAAAGTTCCGACATAGATTTTGCTCATGTTCAAGTTTGTCACGCAAATTCTCTGCAAGGACCAAAACTGCTTGATTTTCAAGTAACTTGAAAATTTTTAAGCAGATGTGTGATGACAAAAGCTATTTCTTTTTTCATGTAAATTTGAGTTTTTGCAATTGACAGGACATATTTGATGTTTGGTTTCGGTTGTGTAGTGCTGAGTCAACCCAACACACACACACAAACACACCCCATATAACAATTGTGTGCCCAGTATATTCTCTGCTATCTCGGCATAAAACAACAAATAATGTTCAAAGTACAGCCACATTTCTCAAGTCAATTCCAGTCATTTCAATATAAATCCGCATGATCGGTAGTTTTGTGTGAAGGCCAAAAAGTTCCGACATAGATTTTGCTCATGTTCAAGTTTGTCACGCAAATTCTCTGCAAGGACCAAAACTGCTTGATTTTCAAGTAACTTGAAAATTTTTAAGCAGATGTGTGATGACAAAAGCTATTTCTTTTTTCATGTAAATTTGAGTTTTTGCAATTGACAGGACATATTTGATGTTTGGTTTCGGTTGTGTAGTGCTGAGTCAACCCACCTGTAGTGAAATCCCAGTCCTAAATCCCATTCCTCATAACTTATATCATGAGATGTTAAATATCTTCTGATTGTTTTTGATTGCATTACATCATGTTACAGTTTCAGTGTGGACAGACAAATAGCTTGTTGCTGAAAACACCAGTTTTGCGACAAGCTCTGTGAAAAAAACAAATGTAAGATGGAAGTGCGTTTCAAATATAATTTTATTGCATTAATTATTGAAAGGTATTGCTAAATAATAGTACCTAATTAAAATAAAAATGAACCTAATTAATACCTAATTAAAACGAACAGCCTAAGTGTTACAGAGCTGACGAGACGTGAGACGTGCGGATCCATCTGCAAGGCTTTATTGTGGAGAAGACAGAGACGTGGTCATGAAGCAGGCAGGGTCAAACAGAGGCAGACAGGTATATGGTGGGCAAGACACAAGAACAGTCCTAGGGCTAGCATGGGTCGACGATGGGCAGACAGAGTCAGAAGGGGCAAGACTAAGGGAGAAATCCAGGAAACCAGGCGAAGATCAGAAACCGGGAAAACAGCTAGGCTAGGGCTAGGGCTAGGGCTAAGGCTAAGGCTAAGGCTAAGACTAGGGCTAAGGCTAAGGCTAAGGCTAATGACTAAGGCAAATTACTAGGGCTAAGGCAAAGGCAAATGACTAGGGCTAAGGCAATGACAAGGGCTCCGTAAGGTAGCTATCTCTAGGAGAGTGATAAACGCTGAAACAATACTCGGCAGAGGGAAGGGATCAGAGTGAGTGTTAAATAGTGAGGGAGTGATATGAAACAGCTGGGTGCAATCAGTGTAAACAGGTGTGTGCAATTCGTGCTGAGTGCAATCAGTGCAATGCATGATGGGAAATGTAGTCCGGGGTGATGTGCAACAGTGTGTAGTGCGAGAGTCAATGAATAGGAAAGTTCGTGGACCGGATTCGTGACACTAAGCTGGTTGGCTGGGCTTAGCTGGTTTAAGCTGGAAGTAGCTGGTTTTAGCTGGTGCCCTAGCCTGGCTAAGCTGGTTTTTAGCTGGTTGGTCAGCTGGTCTCCCAGCCTGACCAGTTAAGACCAGCTTGACCAGCTAAAGAAGTGGTTAAAACCAGCCTGCAGACAAGCTATGACCAGGCTGGAAGACCAGCTAAAACCAACCACCCAGCTTAGGCTGTTTTCAGCTGTTTTTTTCAGCAGGACTTTTTTTTTTTTAAAGCATTTTGTTGTAAGCTTAGCAACATGCTAACATAATATTCTGTTTTAACCATAAGTATAAGTCGAGTTTCTTGTGTGCTTCACATGTGTAGCACTATTAGTGACTTTAACTGCCTTGTTGCTCATAAATAGTGTTTCAGTTCAGTCAGTTGTGAGGTTTTATTCAAGACAGGATGCTGTTTTATTAAGTAGCTAGCTGTCTATGTACCGTGAGGAGTCCACCTCACTGCAGGAACAAAGCTTGTGTCAGTTCCCTTTCATGGGAACTTCGAACTGCGTCCTCTAGGGGTCGCTATGGGGAACGCCTCGTCGTGACCCGTGTCTGAAGCATACATTGAAAAAACACCAACTCGTTGGCCGGCGACAGCCATGACGTCACTACCGGTGCGACTCCAGTATAAATCGGCGCCGGGAGCTACACATCATTCACTTCTTCGTCTGAAGCTTGCGTCCGCAGCATGGCAAGAAACCTAGAGGACCAATAAATAAATAAAAACGTAAGATATAGTTTTAGAAAATAAGAATAAGAAATCATTTTGCAGTTATTTTGCAGCACATTTCAGTTTAAACATTTAGCATTTCGTATAGTTGATGGTTATATATCAAGACTAGTAGCATAAAACAGCGTAAAATCATAAATCATAAAAATCATAAAAAGTGTAAAAGTTAACATCATTTATGTCGGTGTAGCAGACGAAACGTGGTTCTGATGTCCACATTGAATGCACAGGGACTTTATTTTACTATTTGCAGTATTAAATAATAATGCAAAGTTATATAAAGCAACTAATATTATCTCAATTATCAATGTCATATTTCGTACTAAGCTATTGAATTATTTCAAACTGAGACATTGATCTATACTTGAACTTTATTCACTTTTGGTCTTTTTTATCCTCTTGCCTGTTGTCAGCAGAAGTTGGATGTCTTTACCAAAATGCATGTAACAGCGCCTCCTGAAGGTAACCCGTGGGACTGCAGTCTGGAAAGCCGGGTGTACGTGCTCATGCCCGACAGTCAGGTCGTCAGTGTGCCAGTCAAACAGGACTCTCTGGTTGCTGATGTTCTCTCATTGGCCTGCAAGGTAATTTAGCAATCACCTCTCACAGACCCAGTGACCTGAAATGGCCATAACCAGAAAAACACGAACAACTAAAGTTCACGCGTTTGCATTTTCTGTCTTTTGTGGTCTCTTGTGTCTGGTTCAGACCTCATGAAATGACAGAAAGCGTGCTCAATAACTTAAGGTTCTCACAGGATGCATTCGCTTTGAGATGATTTAATAAATCATTACACATTCTGAGCTCCATATTGATCTCTATATGAGTGTAATAGTGGATATCATTGTCTTTTGTAGGCAAAGCAGCTTGACCCAGCTCTGCACTGCCTGCACACGAGGAGACATTTGGGACAAGATGTGGAGAGAAGTACTCCAGTGCCCACAGACCAGCTGAGGACCCTGGTGAGACGAAAACACACTTTATAAAGCAGATTGTTCAAGCTAAACTCTATTTGGATTAGTATTGCCTGCAACAATAACCATCTTAATCAGTTTGTTCTGTTAACCTAACGTTGCCCATCTAAAACTAGTTGGATTGGAATTTAAGCAAGTCCAAACTAGTCTAAGCTGTTTTTTTTCTTGTTATACACACTTATTTCACAAAACCTTGCCTTATCACACAGCAACAATGATGCTCTGCTCTTGTTTGACAGGTCTATGATGAACTGGAAGTTTGGCCTCTCAATGTGTTGACCATAAACATGTCCCGGCCGGACACAACTATAGACTTTGGTGAGTTACTGTATAGCAGGATCAGCAAGAAAATAAATAGTTCACCCATAAGTGAATATTTATTCACTCTCGTCATTTACATAATTCCCTCACTCTTGCATTGTTCAGAAACTGTATGATGTTTTTCAGAGGAACAACAAAGTTTAGCAGAATATTCAAGCTGCTCTGTTCCATACAATGTATATATATTAGAGCCCGACCGATATATCATTTAGCCGATATTATCCGCAGATATATCGGTATCGGTATATGCTGCCGATATGAAAATTTTTTTTACATAACATATAACGCAGATTAAATGCTTCTGAATTGTGTAATTAATTAGTTTATCCAGCAGAGCACGCTCCATTGTTTGCTACTGGCGACCCAGGTCAGTGTAGTGTAGAGATGCGCGGATGAGCTCAAACTTCACCCGAGTCCGCTGCTTCAAATTATCCGCCCGCCACCCACCCGCACCTATATTTGATCGTCATATTACAATGATTCTAATTCTTAGTTTTGCGTGATGATATGATGAATGGATGGCTCATTTTTAACAGCAGATTCAGTGACGTTAGAGACTAGAGCTGAGCTGCGCATCACGGCATGCGTCTGCGGCACATTAAAGCCTGTGTTACGGCCACCGGAGCTGATCGCGGCTGGACTGGCGTTTATACCCGCTGCACCGCCACCCAGAGCTCATGCTTATCACATCGGTCACATCACATCGCGTGGTGCGCGTCCGGTGTATGTTGTCTACACTGGATGCAGTAAACTGATGCCTCGTTCTATTTATGACATGCTGACACAAAGTTCAAATGATTTTCAATGGTCACTTTGTCGCGTCCTGCTGCGGCGCGAACACGGTGTCAGCATAGTTTGTCAGTACAGTCAGTAACATAGCAGATTGAAAAGTTAGTATCTTTCTGCAGTTTAATAGATGGCAGTGCAGTGGTGGCTTGAGTCTGTTGAATTGTGATTTAACGCTACGTTGTCACCTAGTTGGAGAGACTCAATGCTAAGTAAATAAACAGCAATGTTCCCGTCTTTTACTCTCACAATGAGCTTATCATACTCGTTTGCTACATTAGTAGGGCCCTATGATTTCCGCAATGCAGAAAACACGAACGGAATCGCAGAATCCAGTCATAAAAATGGAATTTACTGTATAACACGGAATTTGTCTTATTTTTGATGAATAAATAAAAAAACAGGTCGGTATATATATATATATATGTATATAGACTGTGTCTGTGAATATTAAACTGCAAAAAGATTATTTAAATATGAATGTTCTGCGTGTTCATTTGATTACCAGAAAATACACAACACAGGATGTTATTAATAATAAAAAAAATTATTAATTATTATTATTTATTCATTTTAGATGTTTACATTTGGAAAAGCTGTGCTTCCTGCATAAACCTGCCCCTGTTGGTTTGGCAGCATCTTGCTTGCCCTACACAGTTACCTTGTTTCATTTCTTAATTCAAGTTATATATTTTTTGTTATTTAAGTTATTTATAATAAGTGAAGTGAAGTTTACTGTTCAGTGCACTGATGTCAGACTCATTTTGAATAATAAAGTTTATTGTTAAATTGTTAAATACCCTGTCTCCACTACATAGACCTATGTTTGTCACATCATTATAAGTGTTTGATCACCACATTTGAGTTATCATTGCAAAAAATGTGTTTATGTATATATATTTTGTTTATGTAGGCTATATACTGTATTCTATATACAGTACCAGTCAAAAGTTTGGACACACGAATGGGAAGTGTGTCCAAACTTTTGACTATACTCTACTATAATATAGTCTACACATAAAGAATATCGGCCAATATATCGGTATGGGTCTTTTTCTACTCCCTAATATCGGTATCGGCATCGGCCCCCAAAAAAACCCATATCGGTCGGGCTCTAATATATATGTATATATTTTTAAAAACTGTACTTTCATATAATATGAATGAAAAAAGGCCTTTTAAGTGTACTTAGAGAACAAATGAGTTGTAAGTGCTAAAACCACACATTCAATTTCATTGTATGGAAAAGTGCAGCTTGGGCATCCCGCTGAACATCTCCTTTTGTGTTCCACAGAAAAAAGAAAGTCACACAGGTTCAAAGCAACATGTACATGAATAAATCTAGACAGAATGTTTCAGAACATTCCTTTAAATGTGTTGAAACAATTCTGGCAATGATTAATTTAATCTTACGTCTCTCTGCAGGTTTTGCGGTCACAGGTCATGTGGATGGTGCCAGGAGAAGTCATGTGTATGTGAGCGAGGTGAATCCTGAAGGCCTGGCGTTTATTAGAGGTAACATTTCAATATATCTTATGCCTCGGTACGATTTTAAATGTTATGATTGATGGAATGTATTGTGATTGATTTGTATGATGTGTATTGTCTTTGTAGGTCTGAAAGCTGGAGACGAGATCTTGACTCTTAATGGTGTGAGTGTGGCCTCTCTTGACCTCGGCCTCATGCAGAGCTTCTTCAGCCAACAAGAGCTCCGTCTCATCCTCAGACGCGAGGATAACAGCGCAGACGACCAAAGCTCCGTCTGGCCAGACTGTTACCTCAATAAATCTTGACAGAATGTTTCAGAACATTCCTTTAAATGTGTTGAAACAATTCTGGAAATGATTAATTTAATCTTACGGCTCTCTGCAGGTTTTGCGGTCACAGGTCATGTGGATGGTGCCAGGAGAAGTCATGTGTATGTGAGCGAGGTGAATCCTGAAGGCCTGGCGTTTATTAGAGGTAACATTTCAATATATCTTATGCCTCGGTACGATTTTAAATGTTATGATTGATGGAATGTATTGTGATTGATTTGTATGATGTGTATTGTCTTTGTAGGTCTGAAAGCTGGAGACGAGATCTTGACTCTTAATGGTGTGAGTGTGGCCTCTCTTGACCTCGGCCTCATGCAGAGCTTCTTCAGCCAACAAGAGCTCCGTCTCATCCTCAGACGCGAGGATAACAGCGCAGACGACCAAAGCTCCGTCTGGCCAGACTGTTACCCCAGTGAACCTGATCAACCCCAACCTCCTCAGGGCGACATCATTCACCTGGAGCAGTGGACCACAGGTAGAAAAGCACAATGCACTTTATAATGCACTGCTCTTCTATAAACGCTACCGTTCAGAAGTTTGGGGTCCGAAAATAGTTTTTAACTTTTTTTTTCTAAATTTAAAATTAATTAAAGATTATGGTAAAAATGAAAGATTAATGTTAAAAATTTGAATTACATATTTATTTATTATGTTTTTGAAAGAGTGTCATAGCTTTTCTATTTTGATATATTTTAAATTGTAATCTATTCCAGTGATGGCAAAGCTGAATTTTCAGCAGCCATTATTCCAGTCTTCAGTGTCACACAATCCTTCAGAAATCATTCTAATAAGCCAATCTGGAAGAAAAATGTCTTGTTATCAACAATGTTGAAAACAGTTGAGATGCTTAATATTTTTGTGGAAACCTTGATAATTTTTTTTTTTCAGGATTCTTCGACCAATTGAAACTTTAAGCATTTATTTGAAATGGAAATGTTTGCAACAATGTAAAAGTATTAATTTCTTTAAAAACAAACAAATAAATCAATCTTACTGACCCCAAACTTTTGAATAGTATTGTATTTTGCCATTATATCTTTTCAAATAATATTGTATGTGCCCTGCTTTTTCTGCATTAACCCTACATGAACTGCAGAGGGCAACAAACTTTGCATTTGACTCTTGTTGGTGGTCTGGGTATATATTTCTGCATACTGTTTTCAGGGATGTCATGTGGCTAGTTTTTTGAGAGGGCAGCAGTGGTCCAAGCTCATGTGGTGCCCTTTTTATGAGAAAAACAAACAAACAAACACCCATTAAATGAAAGAACGTTCAAATCTCAGTTAACGTTTTTTTTTTTATTATAATGTTTTAGATAAGCACATTTTTACCTACAGTAGTCATGGTAAACTGCTACAGTAGTCATTTAAATTAGAATTTAAATGTATTTGGTTACCCATCAACTGAACAGGCATTAGTGAAGAAACTGCCTGTAGGGCTTGCGGAGGGCTGTGATTGCTGGCGGCCTCTGGCTCTTTAGACGTACTGCAAACAATGAAACAACTCCTGCTGTTTTTATGATGAGAACCTAACGATGGACAGCTTGTTTCACAGCATGACGCTGTCAAAATGCCCAGACATAAACTATTACACCACAGGGCTCTCCGCAGACAACAAGACTGTTATTCTCTACAGGATGGTGTTTCCTGTAGAGGGGTTTGTAACATTATTCTAACCGTAAACCTAGTGCATATATTAGGTTTTCCCATTTGATGCAATGCCAAGCTTTGTAGAATCAGAGACAAGAGGCCTGCTGAAGTGGACCTGCATCAGCTAGTGAGATCAGTTCAATGGCAGTTAATAAAGGTCAAATGCTTGCACTGGTCGAACTATGGTGAGCCATATCCCGAGAGAGAGCGCTGAGTTAATCAGCCTTGAGTGTGTTTATTTCACTCTCTGTCACCGTGACTTAACACGTCTTACTTTAAAAAAACAGACCACTCTTTCATTAACATCTTTTCCACCTCTTTTTCTCCCTCAGATCCAGCTCAAGAGCAGGAATTTCCCGAGGGCTCTGCGACGCCTGCTTTGGAGGAGCTGAACGATAAGGCCGAGTGGGGCGAAAAGGTAAGCCGAGGGAATGAGCTGTGGTGCTGTCAGAGATTTAGGAGGTGTGAGCAGCTTGTGTTGAGAGACTGGCTGGTGTGATCAGGATTACGGTGGGTGTTATGGGGTCAGATGGAGAGAGAGTCGTGCTCAACAGAATTCCACAGTCTTACTGCACACTTGGCAGCTGCAAACAATAATATTTGAGTTTCCTTGCTTTGAAAGGTTTAAAATGTAAAAGTTCTTTGCATGGCATGTAGGGCTTGGCAGTCATTTTTCAGTATTCGAGTTTACACAAATTTTAGTTTGGGGTTGGTACGTTTTTTTTTAATACTTTTAATTACCAAGGATGTATTAAATTGATCAAAAGTGACAGTACAGGGTTACAAAATTCTATTTCAAATACATTTTGAACTTTATATTCATCAAAGAATCCTGAAAAAAGTGTATCACAATTTCCACAAAAAATATAAAAAACAAACAATTATGTTTTCAATATTGATAATAAGAATACATTTTTCTAATGTCACTAAATCAGCATATTAGAATCATTTCTGAAGGATCGTGTGACACTGAAGACTGGAGTAATGATGCTGAATATTCAGCGTTTTCTTTAGGAATAACTTATATTTAACAATATTACTGTTACTGTTGTAGTTCAGATCAAATAAATGCAGCTTTGGTGACCATTAGGGACTTAAAAAAAAAACCTTTAAAAAAAATCTTACTGACCTAAAGCTTTTTAACTGTAGTCAAGTCAAGTCACCTTTATTTATATATTTATACAATACTGGTTGAGTCAAAGCAGTTTTACAATGTCAAACAGAACACTGTATTTTGCTGTTTATGACCATGCATAGTTATTTTGAGGCATACAAATAAAATTTGATTTAACATCATATTTACAAATATCTTTTAGACACTGTGGAAACATATCTTGCATTAAACATTTTCAGTCTACTTTGGTTGTTTGGTCAAAACTATATTTCCTCCGATTGAAACCGTTACCATTTCAGGGCAAATACATAAAAACAGAAGTACAAATATTTTTAAAAGGTTATAAAGTCTCAAGATGTGAAATGTAAAAAAATCTTACTGACCTAAAGCTTTTTAACTGTAGTCAAGTCAAGTCACCTTTATTTATATATGTATACAATACTGGTTGAGTCAAAGCAGTTTTACAATGTCAAACAGAACACTGTATTTTGCTGTTTATGACCATGCATAGTTATTTTGAGGCATACAAATAAAATTTGATTTAACATCATATTTACAAATATCTTTTAGACACTGTGGAAACATATCTTGCATTAAACATTTTCAGTCTACTTTGGTTGTTTGGTCAAAACTATATTTCCTCCGATTGAAACCGTTACCATTTCAGGGCAAATACATAAAAACAGAAGTACAAATATTTTTAAAAGGTTATAAAGTCTCAAGATGTGAAATGTTGATTGAGGTTTCTCTGTTTGACCTTTGCTGTTTTTTATATGAAAAAAAAGGTTTTCTGTTGGACGGCATCTCAGTGAACAAAATGTCTGATTGACTCACTGCTGCTTTATGGGAGGTCAGTAACAGATCAGCATGTGGTCATTTAGATTTAATCCAGGCTTACAGAGACTAGAGAGAGAGAGAGAGAGAGAGAGAGAGAGAGAGAGAGAGAGAGAGATTAGCATGTACCTGCACTAGACAGAGTATTTTGGTGTCTATAGTATAGTACATGTATAGAGGAGAGGTCTGAGGTCATGTGTCGGGTGGTGGGACAGAACAGTGCAGGAGGAGATGAAGAGGAATTCTGTGCGCTCTTCCCGCTGTCATCTCTCCGTCAGACCCTCAAGGAGATGTTGGTGGGACTGCTGGATGACGTGAGCGTGTGTGGGAGGTGTGAGTGTATCTCACTGGTACTGACATCATTTCTCAGTCTTTTTTCTTTGTTTTTGTGGTTATAGAGTGAGTGTTTGCATGTATTTATGGTAACACTTTATAATAACATTTATTAATATATTAAACATTGTACATTATGTAAAAGATCTTTAAAGGATGAGTCAACTGTATGTAAGCCATTTGTAGATTGCATTTGTTTGGGGCAGGACTATCAGTTTTACCAACTAATGGCAGATGAAAATTTGATGAATATATTTTTATATATAATCATATTTGAATGTTATGCATTATATAATGTTAATTATATAAAACTTAAATAACACTTATCTAAATTTTTAGTAGTAATATTTAATAACAATAACATGTCCATCTAGGGTGTACATTGAAAAAAAATGTTAGCTGTGCTTGTTAACTATAATTGAGAAATATATATATATATTTATAATATGTAAATGGAAAATGTATGTATTATATATATACACATTTTTTAAATAAAATTTGATATAATTATTATATAAACTACTTTTTATATTTATCCTTACTGGCAGAAAGTGAGTTAATTGTACACTTTTTTTTCTTCTTTTTTTTTAACATTGTACATTTATAAAAAAAAAAGTGTCACTATGCTTGTTAACTGTTTTACAGAAATATATATTTATAATATATAAACAAAATATTCAAACAATTTTATAAAATTGTATATAATTATTATGGAAACTACTTTTTTTATATTATTTATCCTTACTGGTAGAAATTGAGTTAACTGTATTATCTAAATAAAAATATTTAACTTCATATTTTCATATTTTGTTTTTACAATGAACAATCTGAAGTGCAAGCCATTTGTGTGCGATTATAAGGAATTCAACATTTAATTCATACATTTTCTAAAAACGTATGTCATCCTTAGAAGTCAAGTCAAGTCACCTTTATTCATATAGCGCTTTATACAATACAGATTGTGTCAAAGCGGTTTTATAGTGTTAAACAGGAAAAAAGTTTGTCAATGCAAGATGACAATAACAATCAGTCAATTTTTTCAGTTAAAGTCAGGCTTTATAAGAAATTAGCAAGATTTCAAAATGTGTATGATGTTCAATAGGGAGACTAATATGGTCATACTTCTTGGTTCTAGTAAGAACTCTAGCTGTTGCATTTTGGACCAGCTAGAGTTTGTTTATTAAACGCGCACAGAAAACCACCCAATAAAGCATTACAATAATCTAACCTTGAAGTCATGAACGGAAGATGCATACCATAGGGCTGTGGCTATTGGCAGAACAGGCACTTGACCTCTGTATTGCGAAGGGCCTCTATAACTGTACCATATGTAACATGGGCCATGGCATATGTTTCTTGTTTACATCGTGCAAGGTACAATAAATAATAATGTACTCATTCTAATGAATTTATATTGTAATGTACTCATTCTAATATATTAAAATCATCTTAACATTGCTGGTAGGTTATCATTGCACAAATCAACACAAATCACAAATCTCTACGTTAAAAAAAATAAAAATAAAAAATGAGAAGAGTTCTAACTAATGCGCTGTCTTCACTGTACCTCACGCACACTCGTTTGGTCAGATCACGCTGCGCGCGTGCACAGACATTCTTTTTTGCGTTTAGACAAACTTTTTAGTGCTGACCCGCAATTTTATCAATAAAATAGCTTAATCGCTGAAGAGCTCCATTATCGTTCTCAACAAGGAGCTGGTAACATCATCGTTTCTAAAGCAATTAAAGCCACAGCTTCACTGTTAATAGAGAAATGCGGCAAAACGGTGGTAATTCATACATAGCTGCTCTCTCTCACTCTCTCTCATAAATGAATACTTTTCTGAGAATAGAATATTGAAGTGGAGATCGCTAAACTGCAAGCTAACCGGTGTTTTCAGAAACCAAACAATGGAGAGAGTGCATGCACATGGTTGCCAGGTTGACAAAGATAAGTAACACACTTAGCAGATATTTCCCTATTGCGCAAGTGGGAAGCTCTGTTTTGAGGATTACGTCTCTTTATTGACGTGACATGACATGTGGCCAAGTATGGTGACCCATACTCGGAATTAGTGCTCTGCATTTAACCCATCCAAAGTGCACACACACAGCAGTGAACACACACACACCGTGAACACAC